GGGGGGGGGGGGGGGGGGTCAACCTATTTTCCAAAGCACCTGAGGGCAGGACCAGAAGCAATGGATAAAAACTAAGCAAAAAGAGAAGCAACGTAGAACTAATAAGAAATTTCCTGACAGGATAATCAATCAGTGAAACGGCTTGCCTTCAGTAGTAGTGAGAGCTCCACTTTTAAGTTTTAAAGAAGAGACTGAACAGCCATTTGTCTAAAATGATAGAGGGCTTCCTGCTTGAGGAAAAGGTTGGACTACTAGAAGACTTCTAAGGTCCTTCCAATTCTGTTATTCTGATTCTGATTAACATATACTGAATAATGGTACTATGTAAATAATGCACTGGTGAAAAAGGTAAACATTTACAATCCATTCATTTCACTGTTATTTTTTCCAGCTGCATTACAAAAAATATTGTTCCATATTCACATGCTAGTCACTAGGAACAGAAATGATTTCTGTAAAGGAATTGTGTATGTCATGGGTTAAGTACAAAATACACACTGCTTGATTTTAATAATCCATTGACTATGATGCCATGATTCCAGTTATCTTTATGCAGACTATTAATATTCAGTGATTAGCAAACTCATAGATTTGTAGATGCTTTTTTCCTCGTCACTTTTTGAGGTTGGTTTCTTGTTAATTCAGTTAATTCAGAATCAGCTGCTGATATTTCATAGAACTGTCCGAAATTCATCAAAAATGAAATTAGGCACGTGGGCCTCGACCACCTAAAGAAAAAAAAGGGCTCGTTATTCCGGTTAAATGTTTGTTTTTATACTTTTTAAATGTTCTTATTAAACTTAATTGTAGGGTAAAATACAAAAAAAGCAAAAACAAAAAAAACATGAGAAAGTTAAAGAAAAGTGCAGAAATGCAAAAGTGCAGAAAGAGGCAAAAAAGGAAAACGTATGTACTGATTTTCAAGTTGTTTCAGTGCAGTAGGATATAAAAAAAGGTTGCAGCCTCAATCTTTTGCTTTGCATTTTCAAATGTTTCAAACTATTTCTATATTTGAGCCATTGGCTTTCTGAAGAGAAGGACTTAGACATGAAGTGGGAAGCTGCAACTGGAGAAGAATCTGCTATTTTTATTAAATCTACACTTAATTCTTTTAAGTTCTGGTAAGCTCGCCATTTGCAGATCAAATTTTATTTTCAGAAAAGATGAGCCTTGTTTCCAAATGAATGGTGAACTAAGTTATTCAGAGTGTGATGTCCAAAGTCCAAGCAAGCCAGCCTTGCAAAAGCAAACTGCTCAATTATTCCTTTATAGAAATCTCAGTTGTGGCTGCCTTTTAAAACCAGAATGATCAGAAATGATCTTCCTAGGACACTCACCGTGTCACGTTGCCGTCATGTGATATTTCACAATGTTTTTCACCATGTCACGGAGCTGAGGTGGGTGTGGCCTGTGCGTGATGCATCTGGCCTGTGGGTCCCCCGTTTGACACCCCTGTCCTAGAGGAAATTATGCTAGCTTGGGAATTCTGGGAGTTGAGATCCAAATATCTTAAAAGTCCTGAAGTTTGGGGAACACCGCTCTATAGCATATCTAAAGATAATCTGAGAAATACAGACAAAAATTCTGGGTGCTTTTATCCATTCAGTACATTGGACGCATTCTCAATTTTTTTTGTTATACTCACCCTTCTTGGTAATTTTGTGTAACGAACATAATCTTCCAAAAAGAGCAGGGCACCCACAACATCTGCTGGCATTTCTGGGACCTTCTGGCTGTGAATAGGCACAAAACCACAACACAAAATGCATTTAATTTTGGTACATCTCTGATGGGCCAGCTACATCAATGTTGTAGGAAAACAGCTCTTACCTCCATATAGGTTCAATTTAATTCAACGATGATTTAGAATGGAGTCATTTTGTGTGTCACAGCACAGCAGAGGCAAAACCTAGCTGAGACTGGCTGATCTCCCCCTACCATCTCTTATTTTAAGAGGGATTAAACCTGGTAAATTATCTAAGATGTATAAAGGTATGTCAAATGAATATTGGAAGTGTAAAAGTAAAGAAGGGACTTTTTATCATCTACTAGTGGATAACCTAGTGTTGCTTGGGTATTTATTTATGTGGGGAAAATATCCGGACCAGTGGTGGGTTGCAGGCGGTACGCCCCAGTACAGGCGTACCGGAGCCTGCCTGGAGCACTGAATACCGTTGCGGTACAGTGCTCCAGAGGGCCCACCTGCCCACCCGAGCTCCTTACTAGTCTTAAGTGTTCTTAAGTATCTATCTGTATATATATATAGTTTTTTTTAAATTTGTGCTGATAAATAAATAAAGGGAAACTAGTATAGATCTATTTCAAGCTATTT